AATGTCTCATTAGTAAATTCTCAACATCAAGTATGCTCAAGGTTACCTTGTTGTCAAGGTCTCTACCTGCTGCTAGATACCAGCTCCACCAGGAAAGTCATATTTGGATATGTGAAATCCCTTTTGATACGTCCTCTTTTAAACAGCTTTTTAAAGATATAATTCACATACCATACAGTTCACCTATTAAAGTGGTTTTTAATATATCTGCAGAGTTGTACAACCATAACCATAATCAATTTAGAACATTTTCACCACATTAAAAAAACTTCATATCTTTAGCTATCACTCCACCCCCTTCACTCCCCCATTAGTAAATAACAACAAATCTACTTTCTGTCTCTATATATTTGGATATTTCTGGACACTTCATATAAATGGAATCATAAAATATGTGGTCTGTGTGACTGACTTCTTCGACTTATCATGTTTTCAAGGTTCATCCATGTTGTAGCATATATTAGTACTTCATTCCTTTTTATGGCTGAATAGTATACCATTATATGGATATAATAATTTGTCCATTAATCCAACTGAAGGACATTTAGCTTGTTTCCACTTTTTGATTATTATGAATAGTGCTACTATAAACAATTGTGTTCAAGTTTTTTTTAATTCAATTATCCAACATATAGCACATCATCATTTTCAGATGTAGTATTCAATGATTCATCACTTGCATATAACGCCTAGTGTTCATCACATTCCATGCCCTTCTTAATGCCCACCACCCAATTCTCCTACCACAACCCTCAGCTGGTTTCTCAGGGTCAAGAGTCTCTCATAGTTTCTCTCTCTCTCTGGTTTCTTCTCATTCAATTTTCCCTCCCTTCCCCTGTGATCCTCTGCATGATTTCTCATATTCTGCATATGAGTGAAACCATATGAATATTGTCATCCTTTGACTTATTTACTTAGCATTTAATACCCTGCTGTTCCATCCACATCAGTGTAAATGTTAGGTATTCATCCTTTCTGATGGCTGAGTAATATTCCATTGTATATATAAACTACATCTGTTCATCTGTTGAAGGACATCTTGGCTCCTTCTGCAGTTTGACTATTGTGGACATTGCTACTATGAACATTGGGGAGCAGGTACCCTTCAGAACACTGCATCTGTATCTTTGGGGTAAGTACTAAGTAATTCAATTGCTGGGTTATAGGCTAGTTCTATTTTTAACTTCTTGAGGAACCTCCATACTGTTTTCCAGAGTGGCTATATTAGCTTGCACTCCCACCAACAGTGTAAGGTGGTTCCCCTTTCTCCACATCCTCACCAACATTTGTTGTTTCCTGTCTTGTTCATTCTAACTTAATGGCTAACACTAGTTAGCCATTCTAACTGGTTTAAGGTGGTATCTCATTGTGGTTTTAATTTGTATTTCTGATGACAAGAGATGTGGAGCATTTTTTCATGTGTCTATTGGCAATTTGTATGTCTTCTTTGGAAGAATGTCTGTTCGTGTCTTCTGCTCATTTCTTGATTGGGTTATTTGGGTTTTTCTGGATGTTGAGTTTGATAAGTTCTTTATAGATCTTGGATACCAGCCCTTTATCTGATATGTCATTTGCAAATATCTTCTGTCATTCCATAGGTTGACTTTTAGTTTTGTTGACTGCTTCCTTTACTGTGCAGAAGTTTTTATCTTGATAATGTTCATCAATGAACCCAATAGTTCATTTTTGCTTTTGTTCCCCTTGTCTTTAGAGATGTGTCTTGCAAGAAGTTGCTGCAGCTGAGTTCAAGTTTTTGTGTGGATATAGGTTTTCATTTTTCTTGGGATGGCACATAAGAGTAGAATTTCTGGGTTGAGTGGTAACTCTATTTTTAACTTTTTGAAGAAGTGTCAGAATGTTTTCCAAAGTGTCTGCACCATTTTACATCCCCACCAGCAGTGTATGGAGGATTCTGATTTCTCTACATTCTCATCAACCCATTATTATCTAGTCCTATGCCTTTTATTATGAAATCTAGCCTCTGTGCCTTAGCTCCTCTTTACCTATCTACTTTATTTCCCTTTGTTCTCTAGCACATACACAAATTTTAAGAAGCTGGTTTCTTTATTGCCCCCATACCACTTCATATTTATTCCTAACTTGATCTTTGTCCATGCCTTTCCCACTGTTCTTAACACCATCCTTCCTTCTGTCCTCTGCCAATCCAAATTTCTACCATGCCTCAAGCCTGCATTGAGATTTTTAGTAGCCCTTTTTAATTTCCATCTCTCCAGAATATAACTGTATTTAGAGCTGATAGCCAATAAGTTAGAGCTTAACTATATTTTATCTCACATGGTTTGTTATTTCTTCCAATATTTATGTCTTATTCCTTATCTCTCTAACCCATTTGTAAACTCCAAGAGGACTATATTACTAAGCCTTATACTACTGCAGCCTAGTTCAGAACACGTAGTAGATACTCTATAAATATTTATTGTTGATTCATCCTAACAGCATACAAATCTCCCCTTATATTTAAAATGAGTTTTTTAGTGGAAACTTTAAGAAAATGGTTTTTGATTAGCTCCTTCATTCAAATTAAGATTATGGTAGAAATCTCCATCCCAGGCCAATAGAAATGCAAAAGGGTTATAGCCAGTGATGATCTTTGAGTCACTTTTCTGCCCAATTTGACCAATGTAGAAGAAAACCATTTAATTATAAAATGATTGTCCCTGTTCCTTTTCCTATTCACCCACTGACATCTGGAGAGTTTCACTGCAGAGAACCTATAGACAGAAAAAAAGGATAAAGGCAGCTTGATGCCTGGCATAATTGAGAACCAAGGAATTAAACCTGAATAGAGAGTAAATTTATACTAAAGACTCTAGCTTTACCGCTATATATGTTTTTAAGATTATTCTTCAAATAAGAGTGATGCTTTTTAAAAAAATATATCTAATGAGGAGATATTACTGACAAATACTTGCCATGGACCCTCTAAACAATTTATATCAGAGGCAGGATGATGTGGTAGGAAAAGCTCATATTTCAATCATAGCTCAAGAACTTCCTAGCTTCTGACTGGCAAGTTTCTTGACCTCTCTATGCCTGTTTCCTCATCTATAAGATAAAGATAATAATAGAGTTGTTGTGAGGATTAAAAGAGATATTGTGTAAAGCATTAGTACAGTGCCTGACACATAGGAAGTATAAACAAGAGGTAGTTCCCTGCCTCTCCACTCTTTTCATCTCCTTTTACACACAACAAAGACAGAGTTAGCACAATTGTGGAAATGACCATGAACCCTGTACAATTAGGATAAAACCCTTGCACTGAAAAGTAATGGTGGGTATGTGGGATGAAAGTATAGAAGGTTTTGGAAGCTACTTAGAGAAGTTTGAAGCATATATCATCTGAGACATGAGAGATCCCCAGCAGGTTGTGGGAAGAGAATGATTGTGGAATGGAGACAGATATACTGACCATGTCAGAAAGGTTCCAGGGTGGGTGGGAGGAATGAGGTTCTAAGTGCTGCAAAAGAGGGTCAGCCTCACAGAGTAGAAGGACTGTATATTCCTCTCAGGGGAAGAAAGCTGTGTCAGGACAGAGTTGTGTTGGGGTAGAGACAAAAGTGACACCACAGACACCACTCTTTATAGGAGGGCAGATCATTCCAAGAGCAAGGAGGAAAAAGAAGGAGAGCTGAACATATAAAAAAGGAGCAAATCTGGGGCACCTCTCTGCAGACAGGATTAAGAGCTCAGTAAAAATGAAGGAAAAAATATAAGATTGATGACCATTGAGGAAAGCTCTGGAGAACACAGGTGGTATGAATCCTTAGTAGGATTCATTCTCCATCTTTTTGAGGATAGCTAAGCAGTTCTGGATGCAGAACAGAAGAACAGGTAGCAAGGAGTGAGGTACCCCCTTTCCTCCATAGGTCTGGACAAAAGTTAGGGCAGCCAGAGTCTAGCAGGACAGCAATGAGGACACTAAAGGAGTAAATCACACAGAGAAGGTTAGGTGAGGCACCCAGGGTGCTATGTTTGTGTGCATATGTGGTCTGCCATAGACTCTGTCCCCAAACTTGTCCCAGAGTTGTTTTGAGAAAATTCAGGTAACTCGTTTTCCCAGTTTAATTTTCCTTATAGTAAGTGTTTATTTGAAAATAATCTCATTACCAATGTATTAAAAACCAGTGTCAACTCTGGAATGGAATGGAACATTAAAGTGGCCCTCAAGTAGTGGAACACTCAAGGTCTAGCTCAATCAGCTCAGTTTGTCATGCACATTAATATGGATAATGGGTGCTAGGCCCCAGTCAGACTATCCACTAGACAAATTCAACCCAAAATTTTTTCCCAGTGTCAAATTAGATGCTGGATTTTATGAAAAAAGGGAGAAGTGCTTCTAGATGTACTTCTGGGACCACCAAACCACAGAATAGAAAAAGTCCATACCAAGGTTTGTAGAGACCCTGTAGCCTCTCTGGCCCAGCACTCTCCTTACAAAAGCGAAGAAACATGCTCAGAGTTAGAGAATGATAAAGCCCTGTGACTTGTGAGGTGCAGCAGAAGCAAGCATCCCTACATTCATAAGCAGGACTGTGTCTTAATCTCTCTTGGTGGCTCAGTGACCCCTGGCATGTTCCACATGAAAGGGGCTGAGTGTCCACTGCCTCCTCCAAGCCATGTCAGGGGCATACGGGAAGCAAAGCCAGAAGCCTAATGATGTTACAACAGAGCACAGCTGTTACGAACGCAGGCTTTGCACCATTTGCTAACTGTGTGACCCTAAACAAGATACTTCCATTTCTATGCCTCACTTTCCCTATCAAAAAAATGGGAGTGACAGTACTATTTGCCTGACTTCAAGAAAGTGTTTCCTACCCCCAGTTACAATTTGAATACCAAGTAAAGCCCATGGCTTACCAGGGCTGTTGCTAACACATATAAGTACCTTAGTGTAAATTAGAAAAAGTGTCTCTTCCCAAAATATTTAACCATACATGGCAGCCTTGTGGCTTGTACTCAGAATCTTCATTCCTCTTTAGGTCCTGAAGCACCTACGGCACCTAAACTTTACCAACAATATGGGGGAGCAGGTGACTTTCGATGAATGTGGTGACCTGATGGGGAACTATTCCATCATCAACTGGCACCTCTCCCCAGAGGATGGTTCCATAGTGTTTAAGGAAGTCGGCTATTACAACGTCTATGCCAAGAAAGGAGAAAGGCTCTTCATCAATGAGGAGAAAATCCTGTGGAGTGGGTTCTCCAGGGAGGTATGTGCTCTTCATCAATGAGGAGARAATCCTGTGGAGTGGGTTCTCCAGGGAGGTATGTGCTCTCCATCAGAACAACAGATGGCTCTACCATGGGCAGGAAATTGTGTTCGGCCTTGGGGGTAAGAGGGTTGGGCTTCACCACTGGACTTGAAAAATGGTAAGTCCACTTCCTTCAACTCACTAACTGTGCACTGCCAAGGTTCTCTGTGAAATCTATCAGTGTTTAGTACACTAAAGAGGAGAATCCTCAGAACTTGAGCCCCATACCTACTATATTGGAAAATTTGTTATTCTTTATAGATTTGACTCCTTGGCTAAATAGCTAACAATTTTCTTGCCTAAAACTTTCCCCAACTAGTGCAAAATATTTAAGCAAACATAAACATCATTCAAGGCAGAGCCTGGACTATTCAGAGTTAGTTCCCTGTCATCCAAATAGCTCAAGACAGACTTATAAATCAAAAGGACAATTTCTTAGAAGATATATGGGTTGGTGACTTGGGAGAGAGAAGATCTCTGAGAGTACTGTGTTACTATGTTTGAGAGTGCTAATGTGTACCATCCTTCACTATTTCTTTTCCTTTCTTTCCCTCCCCAGGGTCCCAGGAAACTTAGAAATCCTCAGGTCCAATACTGCCCTTTCTATCCCTCTTTCATTAGAAGATAATGCCAATCATCTTCTATTTGAGTTTTTTTTAAAAAAACTTCTTGTCAAACCAGTTATTTCTTTTCTGTTAGAACAAAAAAAAATATTTTATTGTTTTCCCTGTGTTTAACTTTCTAAGATGTCTCCAAACCAGGCAGAGAGGTGGGAGGAGAAGGGAAGAGTCTTATTAAAGAGACACTTTGAAAATGGCATGAGCTCTTCCATGTTATCTGACATGATCATATGGAATGAGGCAGAAGTAGAGCTTCTGAAATGGTGAAGCAATAAATGAGACAAAACTGTCAAAAACAACCATTTAAGGATCTGGCAGTCAACCAAAATCAAACAAAAGGTGAAGTGTCTTTTTAAGAAAAACTAACAAAATTTGGATATGAGAAGTCTAGCATTTTAGTTTCGGGCAGCTCCCCAGTTATTTCTAACAATCTGGTTGCTGTTTCTTTTAAGTTTTCTATGTTGACAATCATATCATCTGCAAATAATAAGTTTTATTGAGTTATTTCCAATATTTATGCCCTTATTTTTCTTGTCTTATTCCACTAACTATGAACTCCACAATGTTTAATAATAGTGATGATAGTGGGCATTCTTGTTTTAAAAGAAATGCTTCCAATATTTTCTCATATAGAATGATGTTTACCTAAGAATTTTCTATATTACCCTTTACAAGTTAGAGATGTTTTTTCCTAACTCCTTTCTCAGTTAAGTTTCTAATCATGAGTTCGTGTTGAATTTCATCAAATGTTTTTTCATCTATTGATGATCATATGATTTTTCTGCATTAACTTATTAAGGCAGGGGATGACATTTATAGATTTTCCTAATGATAAACTTGTTTGCATTCCTGGCATAAACCCAACATGATCATGATATATATTGTTTCTTATGTCCTTTGAGTTTGTTAATTGTTTTGGTACTTTTCATCTTTTTTCAAGTGGTGAAAAACCATTACATTCTTTCCAGATCCTTTCAGATTCCTTATACTTAGTATATAGCTCCAGACTTCTGTGTATTTTTCCTTCCAATAACCAGAACTCATCACTCTTTTTCAGGAGACAACCAGCAGGCTAATGGAACCCACTTTGCCCACAGGCTCAGAGAGGTAGAAGAGCCTAGGAATTTACATTTCCCTAAGATGACCCTTAAAAATGAGTGGTGTGGAAGTATGAAAGCCCTGGCTCCCTTTTCCTCAGGTCAGGAGAGCTCTGAGGAATAACTTAGAGTCCAGGGTTCTCCTGTGGGATCAGGCAGAAGCTAATCTTTGAGGGTCTTTGCTCAAGATCACACCCTTGTTGTCTTCTTCCCTTCTGTGTCTCACTTGCTCCATTCTCTTCCTGGTTCCCTTGAGAGAACTTTCTTTATAAATTACTTGCACACAGATTCTCAACTCAGGTATGCTTCTGAAGACAAAGTAGTGAGATGAGCCTGTAATTTCTTTTCTTTTTTTTTTTTTTTTTGTTTTCATACTGCTCTTGTCCAGTTTTGGAATCAGGGTTACACTGCCCTTATAAGAATGAGTTAGATGTTCCTTTTTTTTTTTTTTTTAAACCTTTGGCAGAGTTTACGTAAGATTAAATTCATCTGTTCCTTGAAAGTTTAGTGTTATTTGCCTGTGGTAAACATAGAAACGGAGTGGTCATCTCGGTTATGAATATGTGGTAGGGGAGGAAGCAAGGGGTAGAGGAAACCATACAGTTAGGTGTAGGTTATTGTCCTGGTCCAAGCTTTTGTTTTGGTGGTAATCATTAAAAATGACTAAAAGAGATTGAAACATGAATAAATAATGATGGGGGAAAAAAAACAAGGATTATGCTCAATCAAATTCCATGCACCCTTAGTCCACTAGGGAAATAAACAAATAAATAAAATCTCTGTTACCTGAAATTAATATAGCTATTGCAGATTTCTTTTGGATATTAATGGCCTGACATATCTTTCTGATCCATTTACTTTTGACCTCTCTATGCCTGTCCTGCCTTCCTTGCTGAATGGTTACAAGTATCTCATAAGTCTCCCTATAAAGCCTAAAATAAAATTGCAGGAATTACAATTCACTACAAAATTCAAAGTCTCATTTTCAAACAAATTTCTCATCTCAGCATCTCCCCTTGTAATTGTCCTATTGTGTGTAGGTCCATATCCCTGTATCTTTTAGTTTGTCTTAAACTACTGTTTCCATGGAAAGTAAACAGGTGTCCCATTCTGAGACTTGGAGGGAATGGAACAGGGGATTATTTAAAGTGGATTTTGGTCACTGTGTGGAGTCACAACAACTAATCTTTCCAGAATCCCATGAGTGAGTGTGTGTGTGTGTGTGTGTGTGTGCGCGCGCACACACATGTGCAGGCACTTGCCCATGGACATCTCTCCTTTTCATAAATAACAGGAACAAGGGTCTCTGGGGCTTCCTCTGTCTGGAATGGGCCTGAAGTCTGTTGTACTGGTCCTTGTGCACAAACTCCTCCCCTGTACTTACGTCAAAGGAGCTGTGAACCTGATCCCACAGCTGCAGCCCTTCACTTTTGTGCTCTCGGTTCTCCAGGTGCCATTTTCCAACTGCAGTCGAGACTGCCTGGCAGGGACCAGGAAAGGAATCATTGAGGGGGAGCCCACTTGCTGCTTTGAGTGTGTGGAGTGTCCTGATGGGGAATATAGCGATGAAACAGGTAAAGGGACATGCCCTCATGGACACCATGCAAAGCTTTGTCCACTTTGGGGCCCTGGGGTCAGTGATGTCCCTGAAAGGGCTACGCTGAGCAGGTACTTAGCACAGTGTCTCACTGAACAAGGTATGTCTGAAAGTCACATTGGGCCGAGCACTGAGGGGGATAGAAAAGAAATATTAGATGTCTTGTAATACAAAAAAGCTTAGACATCTTTCTTTTACTTTGATACCACTCTTCAACATTGTATTCCTTTTCTTACAGCTCAGGAGCCCTGAACAGACAAAGTTCTGTCTGTTCCAGACTACAGAGTTCATAGGCCATGATATATTGCCTGCTGGGTGTCTGGCATTGCATTTGCTGTCTACTTATGCTTTTCCTGTGCCTCGGTTTCTTCATCTATAACATGGGAAAAATAAGCCCATTTTATAGAGTTTGGGAAATCAAATGAGTTAATGTTAGTTAGTTTAGCAAATGGTAAGTTCTAGATAAATATTAAATAAAAACCTTACCTAACATATCGGAGGCACCCTGTAAATATTAACTATAATTATTATTATTGTTATTATTTCATTTCATCCTCACCACAATAATGGGATTATTTTTTCCATTACAGAGATGACTCAGAGATGAAACTGAGACTCAGGGAGGTTAAGGAGCCTGACCAAAGCTACACAGCTAGTAAATGGCAGAGCCATGATTCCCATCCAAATCTCTGACTGAAAGCCCATGCTCCTTTTACTCCCCAAAACTGCATGCTGTTTGAGACATAGAAGAGACTTAATAAATGTCTATTGTCTGAATGAGTCTGCAGTTCACTGGAAAGGCATAGATAGGGAGTAAGGAAGGCAAGGTCTTTTGTGTGGGATACTCTCCCTTGCTCTAAGAGGAAGTCTATTCTGACATGTCCACAGAGCCCATCCATATATGCAAAATGAGTCAGGCTGAGTGCATATCACTATAGAAAGTTGATGAACTATGCTAGACACCTAGTGTGTAGGTAGCCACCTGTCCGGAAAGATGGATCATTCCCTGCTATAAGCCATCAGCAAGTGGTGCTAAAGAAAACATGTGGCATGACCCCCCCCCCACTGTGTATAAAGGAAAAAATAACAGAACTATTATAAATACATGAAATTAAACAAGTATATTATTAAACATAAGTCAGAGTTCAGTGTGTTTGTAATGTAAAAATCACAATTATTTCATCAACAAAGAAAAGTTAAAGTGACCACATCCAATAACCTGTATACCCTTACCACCACACTCAAACTCACAAATTACAGTCTATGCCATACAGTATCTAACTCTTTCCTGAAATAATTATAGATGCAAGTGCCTGTGACAAGTGCCCCGATGACTTCTGGTCCAATGAAAACCACACTTCCTGCATTGCCAAAGAGATTGAGTTTCTGTCCTGGACAGAGCCCTTTGGGATTGCACTCACTCTCTTTGCTGTGCTGGGGATTTTCCTGACAGCCTTCGTGCTGGGTGTCTTCATCAAGTTCCGTAACACACCCATCGTCAAGGCCACCAACCGAGAGCTCTCCTACCTCCTCCTCTTCTCCTTGCTCTGCTGCTTCTCTAGCTCCCTGTTCTTCATTGGTGAGCCCCAGGACTGGACATGCCGCCTGCGCCAGCCAGCCTTTGGCATCAGCTTCGTCCTCTGCATATCATGCATCCTGGTGAAAACCAACCGTGTCCTGCTGGTGTTCGAAGCCAAAATCCCCACGAGCTTCCACCGCAAGTGGTGGGGGCTCAACCTGCAGTTCCTGCTGGTCTTCCTCTGCACTTTCATGCAGATTGTCATCTGTGTCATCTGGCTCTATACCGCCCCACCCTCAAGCTACCGCAACCATGAGCTGGAGGATGAGATCATTTTTATCACATGCCATGAGGGCTCACTTATGGCACTGGGCTTCTTGATTGGCTACACCTGCCTGCTGGCTGCCATCTGCTTCTTCTTTGCCTTCAAGTCCCGGAAGCTGCCAGAGAACTTCAATGAAGCCAAGTTCATCACCTTCAGCATGCTCATCTTCTTCATCGTCTGGATCTCCTTCATTCCAGCCTACGCCAGCACCTATGGCAAGTTTGTCTCTGCCGTGGAAGTGATTGCTATCCTGGCAGCCAGCTTTGGCTTGCTGGCCTGCATCTTCTTCAACAAGGTCTACATCATCCTCTTCAAGCCATCCCGTAACACCATTGAGGAGGTGCGCTGCAGCACTGCTGCTCATGCTTTCAAGGTGGCAGCCCGGGCCACACTGCGCCGCAGCAACGTCTCCCGCAAGCGGTCCAGCAGCCTCGGGGGCTCCACGGGCTCCACGCCCTCATCCTCCATCAGCAGCAAGAGCAACAGTGAAGACCCGTTCCCACAGCCCGAGAGGCAGAAGCAGCAGCAGCAGCCACTGGCCCTGACCCAGCAAGAGCAGCATCCACAGCAACCCTTGACCCTCCAGCAGCAGCCACAGCCACAGCCGCAGCCACAGCCCAGGTGCAAGCAGAAGGTCATCTTTGGCAGTGGCACCGTCACCTTCTCACTGAGCTTTGACGAGCCTCAGAAAAGTGCCATGGCTCACAGGAATTCCACGCATCAGAACTCCCTGGAGGCCCAGAGAAGCAACGAGACCCTGAGCAGACACCAGGCATTGCTCCCGCTACAGTGTGGAGAGACAGACTCAGAACTGACTTCGCAGGAGACAGGCCTGCAAGGGCCTGTGGGTGGGGACCACCAACCAGAGACAGAAGACCCTGAGGAGATGTCCCCGGCACTTGTAGTGTCCAGTTCACAAAGCTTTGTCATCAGCAGTGGAGGCAGCACTGTCACAGAAAACATACTGCATTCATAAAATGGAAGAAGGTGGCCAGTCAGGAAGGATCCAGAGGGGTTTCCTGGGAACACATTCTCTGACAGGAACGAGGAATCACCCCAGACTCCTTTCTTTTGTGGAAGGAGGAATAAAACACACCAAACACCTTAAACTCTGTCGAACTGTTTGAAATAACAGTGAATTGACTCATGTTCCCTTTAAAATTAAAAAAAGAAGAGGAGCCACGTGACTCTGTGGTTGGATATGTCAGAGAGAACACCATAATCAGATTTGCTCTTCACGTCTCTTCTCTGCTCTTGTCCTCTGTTCTATCACACCCAAAAGCCGAGAGATGAAACAAAGGCTGTAAACAACCCACGTATTCCCTTCTTTTTTCCTTAACACTGAAATGCCTACTCTGAACATTGCAGACACCCTGGCCCAGAGACAAAAGTGTGCAGAGTGACAAAACATCAGGCTGGCCACCATTAAATTTAAGAGTCTGAAAGACAGAACGTCACCAGTGCTATCCAGCACCTTGACAATGGGAAGAACTCCAAATGTTCAAAACCATAAGGTGAACATGTCCCCTCCTATTTATAAAAACTGTAAGATATGTGGTCTCCTACTTGCTGCTGCTATCATGTAACATCTAGAAGGTTAGCATCCCTCCTGTACGAACTGCATTTGGTCAAGAATATGATAATGATGCCATGTTTAGATTCCAGGATCACAAGAATCACCTCAGATTGCTGGGAAGGGACTGCATGAATCCAATGAGCTGTATCTGTAATTAATATTCCTAACATCTAGTTTTATCTTTAAGAAAATGCTTCTGTTATAATAGTTCATGGACAATATAAACTGAAAAAAAAGTCACAGTCTGGTTAATAAAAGGCAGTATTATTGAGCTCCTTGCCCACCCTTGCCCACCCCACCGCCTTCACCTCCATGAGCTAAGACCAAGTGAGTCCCAGGGATCCAGAAATTCCCCTCATCCTGCCCCCAAGGCTTTCTGAAGCCGGATCCACACCTGACCCTGTGGAGAATAAGCTTCCAATCATTAGCCTCTACCAGTTGCTGGGGTAAGAAAGTGTGATTCCAAGAGATCTCTCATAGAACCTTAGCCTGGCACTCCCCCTCCACACACACACCAAATACCATACCTGTGTCCCCTCCAGAAATGGGGAGCTGCCTATGGGTCATTAAAGTGATTGAATGGCACAGCTTCTTCTGAGCATTCAGACTCTGGAGCCAGAGAGATCTGGGTTCAAGCCAGTCACTTACAAGTTGGGTGACCACAGGCAGGGAACCTTAATTTCACTAAGCCCCAATTTCTTTGTCTCTAAAATAAAGGTAATAATCATTCTTTCCCCACAGAGTGCTTATGTGAATTAAATGAGATAACGTATGTAAAGTACTTTAGCATGGTACCTAGCACATAATAAACACTCAATAAATATTAGTTAATATTATTACTGATATCGCAATTCTTTTTTTCACTTGCTTAGAATATAAAACAAACTTTATTTGTTTACCATTCAGATTTTAATGAAAAGTCCACTGATGATAAAAACTTCCTTCATAATAACCCCCAAGAATTCTGGGACCTGGTTCAAGGGATTGGGTCAGTCCTAGCAACACTGGTTCTGGGTGGCAAAGCCAAAAAGTCAGTCAGACCCCCAGAGGTCCCCATGCTCTGATTCTCTGGTTCCAGCACCAAGGGAAGACTGTCACCAGTTTGGCATAGTTTCTTAGATCACTCTAAATGCTGCTCTTAGGGAAAGCCAAAACATAGCAACTAAAGCTATGTGAGGCCTCAACTTCACAGCTCTTGATGACTTCTTCCTCTGACACATTCTAGGGCACCGTGTAGGTGCGTGTCTGGAATATGTTGGTGAGGTATCTGCTCCCCAAGCCAGGAAGGGCACCAGCCACAGGCCCCACCTGATGCTCCTGCCCTCATCATACCACTGAGCAAGGCACAGAGCTGAGTGAAGATTTACATACAACATTTTACTTCACCTTAAAACAAGAACAAAAACAAACAAACAAAGGTAACTGAAAAGTTTGAGGGCTTGGCTTTTATGCATCAAAATAGCCACGGAGAGACACACTTCGCTGTGCAAAATGTCACCCCTTCATCCTTCAACATGCAGCTCACCTATGTTGCTGATCTGGAGGGAGCTCATCAAGAAAACATGCAACATTTACATTAAGCTCCATTTCACCAAGTGCTTACAAATAAAACAGTATTTCCCAATATTCTTGTCAGAATGGTAGACTCGACATCATTGTCCCCATTTACATGCCGCAGGCACAACTCTCAGACAAAACAGTGGGGTAAAACATGAACTTTATTTTTCTGTAACAACCTAGTTTCTATCTCAAATTCCCATTCAGCCTAGTGACAGCCCAATTTATCTTAATTAAATTGGGGTTTTCTCAGTAACTTCAGAGTTTTCTGAATCGATTCAGAGGCCTCCCCCTTCCATGAGAAGTTTGCTATCATTGCAAAGAATGAGGTAGGGGTCAGGAATACAACAAGTACAGGGTTGGATGAGTCACGGAACAAAGGTGAATTCCAAGGACAGAGAGAAGAATTTTAGCCTTGAGGGGAGCTGCTCAGCTAGTGGTATAAGTGGAGAACAATTAGAAAAGACCAAATAGGGGCAGGAGACTGGGCAGAACAAGCAGAAAGTGTATTTAGGGACTAGCGGGACAACTGTGACCCAGGCATCAAATGGGCAAGGGGGACCACCTCCTGTGCTGAAATGACCACCATATTCGTCCTCTCCCCTGAATCATGCACAAGAGTGGGGAGAGTTTGGAATGGAGGTAAGGATACCTGTTTATATCAAGAGCTGAATTAGAGGAAGTGGGTGGGCGAGCAATAGAAATTATTACCAGCAATCTCCCTCTGAAACTGGGGCATTAGCTACCTGGATAACCACCTAGAGTAGGAGGCTAGAACTAATAAAGCAATTAACTCTACGACTGATTTCCCAGCAGATGGAGTGCAAATATTTGTGAGTATAATGGATCAAAGCCCAAGAATAACCCTCCGGGTTGGAACAGGATTTAATCCCTGATAGAATTATCAGGAAGCGTTTCTGGAAGAATGTGATTCTTGACATTAACCCAAAGATGTGGTTATTGCTCAAAATCTCCCAATTTTCTTTAAATGTTTTGTTTCTATCTGACCTATAAAAATATTCAGATGTTTTTAGACATTGCTGCTTGTGGTGGACCGATCATTTCTACCTCTTTAGAATTCTCTATAGTTCTCAAGTTTTGTATATTAAGCACAAAATTGTATCAGAAAAATTAAGAAAAGAATTTAAAATTGCCATGAGTGAAGTTTAAAGCAGATAAGCAAACTATATTAGATAAGAATTATCCAGTTAGGTCAATTGCCACCCTATAAAGTTTTGCTCAGGCTATAATTAGTTCAAGGAACTTCAGGACTATTTTTTATTGTTAGTCATGAATAGGTCGAGTACTGGAGTAGTGAAACACCAGGAGTGGAATTCTAAACAGCGTAACAGATAAACTATATATGTCCTTAGGCAAAGTATCCAATTCATTTGTCTCAGTTTCTTATGTAAAGAGGATACAATATTACCTGCCATAATTGTTTATTTGGCAAATAAAATAACTGACATAAAAGTATCCCTCCCCCCTTCAGGAGTATAGGAAAAAGATAGAAAATCATTAAAACCACAGATGACTGAAGTTTAGAAGTTTTGCTTTTAGAATCTCAAAGAGTTCAATAATGTCTTCTATCAAGTTTCTTAGTTGGACACAATAAAATTCATTCTAGCTAGTCTAAGCAAAAAAAAAAAAATCTGTTATAGGATATTAAAATGCTTATAAAATTATGGTCATCCAAGCTTGGATGCTACACAATCAGGAACAATGCAGCCAGGAGAAATACCTAATCCCTCCATGGGGTTCTTTTAGCAAAAGCCTATTTCCCCTGCCTTCCAGTTAGCACCCATGGCACAGAGAAGTGGACACTGGACTCTTCATTGCAGTTGGAGGAACCAAACTCTTCTACCACTGTGCTTGGCCCCATTCACCTCAACCTTCCAGGCCTCCCACTGGCTCTGGGAGTCTGGAAATGTGGCTTTTGCTGTCCAGCCTCTACAGTATAGGAAGACCTGCTAGGACAAGGTCAAGAGGATGATGGACAAGCCAATTTGCAGTACACCATGCTCACAAACAAGGCATTTTTAAGATCAAACAGAAAATGCAAAATACATTCTTCTGAGAAAAAGCAAGAAAAATAGGATTCCCTTTCATCTTAACAGCTATGATAGATAAAAAGTTACTACCCTGAAAATAGAGCTGCAGCTGGCATTTTGCCATTAGAGGCTGCCAGCAGATAAGAGAGAGCACGTGGGAAGTACTTCAGGTGGGGATACTGGAGGGGATGGGATGATGGGAATTATGTGCTTGATCCTAAGCCCATTAGTACTATTTGACTTTCTAAATGATAGGCATATTTTGTGTGTATCTGTCTGTGTGTATCTGTGTCTGTTTAATAGCCTGGAGAAAAATACATAATCGTTAAATAGTAATTGTGCTGGGTGTTAGAATTATGAGTGATTCTTATTTTCCTTTTAATATTTATCTGGGGTTTTCCATTAATTTCTTTCTAAAATCATGGTTTGTAGCAAAACTAGAAAAAAGTGTTCTTGGATTATCAGATGTGATATTATCATGGTCATGTTTTTGTTTGGCTGGGTTTTTTTTTCTTTCATTTGTTTTACTTTTTATTTAGAAATAATTTTTAAACTTAAGGAAAATGTGCAAAAGCAAGTACTACAAAACCACACATATAACTCTTTACCCAAATTCACTTACTGTTAATATTTTACTCTATTGGCTTTGCCATACATACTATGGTCAGTTAATAAGATGTGATGTAGGGTAAAGTATTTATGGGTGAAATCATATGATGTCAGGGATTTGCTCTAAAATATCATAATGTGTTGGGACACCTGGGTGGTGCAGTTCATTAAGCATCCAACCCACTGGTTGCAGCTCAGTTTGGATCTCAAGGTCATGAGATTAATCCCCTGCATTGGGCTCTGCACTCAGCACAGAGTCTGCTTAAGACTCTCTCTCCCTCTGCCCCTCCTCAGCCCCTACACTCATGTGCACTTTCTCTCCAAAATAAATCTTTAAAAATAAATAAATAAAATAAAATATCATAATGTAAGGAAAAAATAAGTATATAAGAAGAAAAGAAAGAACAACAG